CTCAAATCTTCAGAGAAGGACTACGTCCAGGAGGAGGAGGCGACCGCATCAATACGTTCTTCGTGCCATTCGCGCCGTGGGATGTGAGAAGTCAAATGGTGCTGAGATTCAGGAAGATTGATCAAACTGATCTTGTCTACATCTACATCACGTACGATTCCATCGCCAAGTTCTCCCCTTGATTATCAGCAGACGGACACATTTTGGTCCAAGAAACAATTCCATTCGAATCATTCGATGCAGTTTGGTATTACGACTGGAGAGAAAAGGACTACTACCGTCTCATGATCACGAAGGGAAGAGATCAACTTGTTCTTTCTGTGCAAGGTGCAAAGAGGGTGGCCACCATTGAACGATTTGACAAGCTCATTGGAAACATTGTGCCTGAAGAATCATCACCCGATCTAGACGAACTTCGAAAACTTGTCGATATCAGGACCGGTCACTTCAGTCATACTCACAGATTGTTCCCCGGACATCCGGATTGGAATGATGCAATTTCATTATTGGCAGTCACTCATCACCCTAGCAAAGAGGACCATCGACTATGCCCCGCATGTCTGATGGAGACCCCTGCGCCATTATCGATTTGTGTGATGTGCAAAGGATTTTTGATGAGTCATGGATGGAGGAAACGAATCAAGATCACCGTGGCTACAGTACCAAGTGCCGAATCGCATCATCGAGAAGAAGATCTCAAAGACCATGTCAAGAAAGCATGGGAGGAGGTGAAGATCGATTTGACAGGTGATGATGATGACAACGAGGTGATGCCAGATGATGATGATGTCACCATGAAGAGTCCAGAACAAGAAACTCAACCAGAAGAAGGAGATGATGATCAAGCCTCGAAGAAGGGCGACATCAATGATGAGAAAAGAGACTTCAGAGAACAAGATGAGGTCGACAAATTTCTCAATCAAGAAGGAAGACCGACCGATGAGAACGATGATGAAGAGATAGCGGTCGATGAAATCAACATTGAAGAGTACGAGGCTGGAGAAGCTCGTGATGCAGTGATTGAGTACCCCAAGTGGATGCAACGGATTGAGTTCTGGATCAAAGGTCCTGCCGATCGAACCTTGCACAATTGGAGATGCTCAGCCAGAATTCATCAAGATCCTCCTGTTGCAGATTGGATTACATATCGTCAGGATCTACAGACTATTCCAACGGAACTTCTGTGGAGACATCGAGACGGCATGGAAACATTTTCAACAGAACCAGAAATTCAGGATGGACCTGGACTCAAGGACACCTTACCTGGGCGAGGATGAAAATGGTGAACTCATTGAACCAACTGCACAACAGATGAAAGAGCTCTACAAAGAGATCGGCCGACCAAATCAAAAGGACGACATCGGAGAAGAGGGATTCGTCAATGCATACTACGGGGCAGTGGTACTCAAAAGACTTCTCATATATACCCTTGAATGTGGCTACACGTATGATGACTTGCAAAACATATTCTTTGATGAGGAGATGGAGAAGCTGTCGAAACGTGACACCACAATGGATGAGATGAGAAAGACCACTGCGGCCCGCGACGCCCTTGACCGACAAGACGTCATGGTCAGAAGAATCATTGCAGGTGCATATAGGGTAAATGCTGTTTATTTCTTCCGGAACGTTGACTTTCAAGACACAATCACACTGAATCCAGTTGACATTGTGTGTGCTCTTCGTCCACCACTTCGAAGAATATCACTTTTACACCTGATCCTTCAGAATGGCCGACAATTGCCGCGACCTCTACTCCAAAAGCTATATGATGCGATCGATGACTACAATCACATCAAGCAACGGGAAGATCAACGACCAAGGTGGGGCATCCACTTGTCTGAAGCTCACATACTTGCGATTGCTGATACCCCGACTCCTGCTGATCGTGAACGTACCAATCCAGCCGCTGGCAAATCGAAAGCAGCCCCGAAAGCTGCACCAGCACTGGGAAGAGTGTCGAAAGCGAAAGCATCATCGTCAGCGACATGGAGAACAGTTGAAACCGCTCCTCCGCCAAAACAAGCTCCAGTGACCCCGCCAAAGAAGGGTGGAAAAGACCAAGGAAAAGGTGGAAAATCTTATTCACACCGTGGCGGAGACTGGAACCATCAGGGATACTATGGATGGGGAAATAGATGATTAAGCGATCTGACCTCTGCATAGGTCCCGATTGAACCTGGCGATGCGAGGATGCAATCATTGCTCGAGATTTACCTCTACTTCATTTTGAATGATTTCTGAGAGGACTCTGAGCCGGCTAATTTAGAACCACACATTTTTTTTGAACATCATTGCATGAAACGCTGAGTTTCTACAGCGGTCTACGTCTCAACCGACGAAGGGACGGGAAGGTAAACTTCTAGTTCCATAGTCAACTTCGTGTTTTGATTTTGTAATTCACCTGCTTGAGTGGGATTCCATGCTGGCTACGCCACATTGGATGAACCTCAACGCTAGACACCGACTACGTCGTGTCTACATGCACGTGAACAGAACCTTTATCTTTTGGTAGAGATTGTAGCAAGCCGCCATGTAGATATGAAGTTCTGAAACGGACTTTAGCTCTCCATAATTCAACAAATGAATAGCTGCAAATATATAGTGGATCAATTCGAGGGACACTCCTTTGCGCGTAGCCAACAAAGTTGGCTATGCGTGGGGGGTGCGAATAGAGTGTAAGCTACGGACCAATGTACATTATCACATAATTCACTCTAAGACTCGAAGCCAAAGGGTTGTGACAATCGCCCTTTTGGCTCAAGACCCACTGCAGCAACAGAGAAAAGGAACGCCATGCGGAAGCTGTCGTCTTTGTGAAGTCATTACTGGAACAACAAACATCAACATCAATTACTGGAATATAATCGGACAGGCAATCCCCGATTCGCATATATACATATATATATACATTTAATACATATACGTACATACACATACATATACATACATACATACACATTCATATACATAAATATTCATACATAGACAGACATAGACATACATAGACATTAGACATACATAGACATACATAGACATACATAGACATACATAGATATACATAGACATACATAGACATTAGACATACATAGGCATGCATAGACATACATAGACATTAGACATACATAGACATTAGACATACACATACATAACATAGACATACATAGACATACATAGACATACATAGACATACATAGAGACTACGGGCATACATAGACACACATAGACATACATTGGCATACATAGACATACATAGACATACATAGACATACATAGACATACATACACATACATACATACACATACATACACACACACAGATATACATACACAGATATACATACATGCATACATACATACATAAATACATACATACATACATACATACACATACACATACATATATACATTTAATACATATACGTACATACACATACATATACGTACATACATATTCATATACATAAATATACATACATACACAGACATAGACATACATAGACATACATAGACATACATAGACATACATAGACATACATAGACATACAGAGACATTAGACATTAGACATACACATGCATAGACATACATAGACATTAGACATTCATAAACATACATTAGACATACATCTATATACATATACATACATACATGCAAACATACATACATAGATATACATAGATATACTTAGATATACATAGATATACATAGATGTACATAGATATACATAGATATACATAGATATACATACATACATACATACATACACATATACATGCACATATACATTTAATACAAATACATACTACATACACATACATATACATACAGGCAGGTACATATAAATACATAGGCATACATATACAAACATAGACATACATAGACATACACATACATACATAGACATACATAGACATATACATACATAGACATACACATACATACATAGACATACATAACATAGACATACATAGGCATACATAGACATACATAGACATACATAGACATACATAGACATACATAGACATACATAGACATACATAGACATACATAGGCATACATAGAATTACATAGACATACATAGACACACATAGACATACATAGACACACATGCATAGACATACATAGACATACATAGGCATACATACACATACATATTTATATATATATATTTATTTATTTATACATACACATACAAATACATACATCTACATACATATACATACATATACATACATAGACGTACATATACATGACATGCATAGACATGCATAGATATACATAGACATACATAGATATACATAGACATACATAGGCAGACATAGAATTACATAGGCATACGTAGACATACATAGACATACATAGACATACATAGACATACATGCACATACATAGGCATACATACACATACATAGATATACATACATACATGCATGCATGCATGCATATAGACAGACAGACAGACGGACGGACGGACGGACAGACAGACAGACAGACAGAGACAGACAGAGAGAGACAGAGAGACAGACAGAGAGACAGACAGAGAGACAGACAGAGAGACAGACAGAGAGACAGACAGAGACACAGACAGAGACACAGACAGAGACACAGACAGAGACACAGACAGAGACACAGACAGAGACACAGACAGAGACACAGACAGAGACACAGACAGAGACACAGACAGAGACAGACACAGACAGACACAGACAGAGACAGACAGAGACAGACAGAGACAGACAGAGACAGACAGAGACAGACAGAGACAGACAGAGACAGACAGAGACAGACAGAGACAGACAGACATGCATGCATACATACATAACATAACATAAAATATGATATAATATAATTAAATATAATTTAATTTAACACAATATAATATAACTTAGCTTAAAGCCTGAAATAATACAACATAGAATATAATACAATATAATATGATACAGAGGAGAAATATACCTGTATGGAAAGCAGGGCCCTGAGCTGCGGGAGCGTGGCCAAGGATCCAAATTCTGACGACTGTCTTCAGTGTGGCGAGGAACAACAGGTTGGCACCTTGATCATGGCTGGTATGGGTATGATGGGTACCTTTGGAGCTTTCTTCTTATCACTGCTATATTTGCTCCTTGGTTGAGCAATTTTGAAGCCCATCTACCTGGTCCGTTTTCATTTATACAATTTTCTATCATTTGCACTTGACCAGCTGCTATCATTTGCTGCTTTACAGGTCAAACATTTGGGCAAAATTGACTTGAACCATCCAGAACCCCAAATGAATCTGCATTTTTTTTTGTGTGCCCCTGAGATACCGAGGAAGATGCTTTCAGATCCCATCTTCAAAGGCCAGATCAAACTCTACGTGGCGCGCAACTTGGCTTTATGCATTCTATATATGGGATGCCATATTTATTTTCACAATATAACGGATTCCACAGTAGCAAGATGAAGCGGAGAGGTTGACGGAGAGACTTCGAGGGACATTTCGGTCCGTTTATTTGGTGATATTTGGGGAGACCATCCATGTTCTCCATAAAGACTTGCCCCGGATCCTGCAACAGAGTGCGTCAATTGAAGCAGCTGTGTATCGATCGTTTTTGGCAGGAAGAATTGTGGACCGAATCAAAGCACTGGCAGGCGTTGGTGGAGGAGGATCATTCCAAATTGAGCAGTTGGATTTCCATCGATTTCCACAATTGCATGCGAAACTCCTTGCCAATTCCTAGGGGCCATGACTTTACTTTACTAGTGCCATAACCTCAGCGAGGAGCACAGCAAAAAAATCCTCTGGTAAAGCTGGCGGGCAAACTTCGATTCAAGCGGGTGACTCTAGTCATTCGAAAGCGGGATGTTTCCGGTGCCTGAGCTCCTTTAGCTGAGTGGTTACGGCCTCGCTGGTCCCCAAAGTCACACCCCAAGTCCCCGAAAAGTAAACCCTAAATGGTTGAATCAGTTGAATCAGTTGAATCATTGATAAGTAACATGGTCCTGAAGTGGTGATGTCAATCTGGGCGCAAGTGAATTATTTTTTTGGGCGCAAGTGAAGTTTTTCCCTAGCTGAGTGGCCATGGCAGTGCTTGTTGAAAATTCTTCAGTGGCCATGGCCATGGCAGATTGGAATTCCTGGCAATCGAATCCGTTCTAAAAACATTTATCATCCGTGAATATCCGTGACATTCTGAAGATGTTCCAATTTGCTCCTGAGCAGAAACTTCCTGCAACGAAGGCTATTGGCACTACTTCAAGAACCGGGACCTGGGCTTCGTCTTCCGGGTGGATCGAGATCACGCGGTGCATGTTGCTGGTGTGCGGCCTGGGTCACCTGCTTCCCGGATGGGGATTTCTCATTCCTGGCGTCTGCTAGTTGCTCAGCAGAACGGCTCAGATGTTGAAGCTGGGAACTGCTGTAGAGGATAATCCCTAGAAACTCCTGAAGTTCGGATACCATCATGGCAGATAGCAATGGAAACTTGCAATCATTGACGCAACGTGATGCAACGGATTCCCCGCTCGCTTGTGCAGGTTATCAATGGGAAGCACGTCAAAGCTGACACTGCCGCTTCCCTTGACGTTGTGGTTTGGACCACATTTTCTGACATGTCCTGCTACATTTTTGCCTAGGCACACAACCTTACCCATTAATATCCATGAACATAATTTTTACATATTTTTACTTTGTTTATTCAGCTTTCAGATGCTTTCTCTTTATCGCTGTGTCATTGAGCTTTGGCCGAGGAGCAGGTCGCTGGGCCAAATTTATTACTGTGTTCAGAACATTGCGCAGCCATGTGAAGTGTGTGTGAAGAGTGAATAAGACAATTAAGAGTGAAAGTCTTTTGGAGACTATGAGACTTGAGGCATCTAAATCTAAAACATCTTAAAGCCATGAGGCATCCCCACAGCCTGCGTCTCCATCCAGCGTGGCCCAACATCCGTACTGACAGCAATCTTTGTCTAAGGACGTCCAGGACCAGTTGGCCAACACGAAACTTCCGCTGCTTGGCAGTTACTGCTAAGTTTGGTACCCATGAAGTCGGTGCATTTCGGTCCATTTTCGGTCCATTTTCGGTCCATTACTTTGCTCCGATCCTGAAATCAGTTTGCTCGCCCAGGATCTACTGTTTGTTCAGGGCCCCGCGGACAGAGAAGGATGATGAAGAAGCGGAAATTGACAGCTCTGATGCGAAGGACAGACAAGCGCAGGACTTCGCAGGTCACAAGAATGCGCAAGGCAATTAAATAAGTAAAGTGACAAATGTAACACACACACACAGACATATATATATATAGTTATATATATATATATTTATTTACACACATTAAATCACATTAATATAAGACCAGATAAGACTCTTTACGACTCTTTATAGGAGTACACAAGTCCGTCTACATTTGACTAATTACGCATTCTAGTCTTCAAGGTCATGAGGCCTCAAGGCCAGTGCACGGCACGATTCCCGAGGAGCTCAGTGCCTCCGGGATGCGGCTGATCACAATGTCTTTGGGAATTATGCAGTCTTTCAATGGCATCCAAAGGATTGATATCGAGTGGCCTGATGCGTGGCACAAATGTGTGTTGAAGATTTGTTCAGCGAGAAAGGTTGGCTTGACAAGAGGTGCCATGAAATGCCATGAATGTATGAGACTCAGGAACTCTTCACCAAAGTCATGGAGATCCTCGCCAACTTCACCTTCAACTTCAATTTTTTTCAGCCTGATTGCAGTGTGTCTAGCCCCTACTGGTATACTTGGCTTGGGTCGCTTAGTCGCAGGCCCTATCCAGGTGGTCTCTGGCCTCCTTCCCAAGACCCGCCAAGAGAAAGTTGTCGGGTCTGAAGATATGTTTCATCGAAGGAAGTTTAGAAGTCAAACTTCCGACAATATGGACAGATGAAAAGCAGAGATGGGAAGAGTCAGAGAAGAGAAGAGAAGAAGAAAGAAGATCAAAACGAGAAAGTCTCCGAAGAAAGAAGATCCAGGTGCGCGAAAAGGTAGGAAAGTCGCAAAACACTGTGATTTGTAGCTCCGGAGAGTCCAAAAGTAGGCTCGCTAAAGCGGTGGGTGCGGAACCATCTGGCAAGATGAGAATAGATGAGAGATGAACAATTGCACGCCGTTGTGGCGCGAAGCACATTTGCCAGTGAAAAAGCTAAAAGCACCTCACGTTCGGAGCACTTGTGGAAGTTGCGATGTCGAAAAAGTGCATGCCGCTGTGGCGCGAAGCACATTTCCAAGTCAAAATGTGCAAAGCACCTCAGCTCCGGACCGCTTTTGGAAGTTGAGATGTCGAAAAAGTGCACGCCGTTGTGGCGCGAAGCACATTTCCACGTTAAAATGTAAAAAACACCAGGGGTTCGGACCACTTTTGGACGTTGTTTGCGTGGCAGGCGCAAGGGATTGTGCCCCTGGTCAAAAGTGAGAAAAACGTGAGGGTTTTGTGGCATTTCCAAAAACGATGGCAGGCGTGGGACATTTGAAGAGGATCTGCAAAGATGCATTTTCCGTGGCAGGCGCAGTGCAAGAGACATGTTCATCAGAGCTATTAGGAGGTCAGGGCGCTGATTTCCTGAGAGGGGTTGCATTTTGGAGCATTCGGTCTGTAGGTTTGCTAAGATGATTTTGCGTGACAGGTGCAGCACTTCGTATGACCTGGCATCACTTTTCCGTGGCAGGCGCAGTACTTTAGACAGGTGAAGTGGAAAAATCGCAAAACGCATTGGTACGAGGCCGTCAGCTCTGCACTCAACTTTCCATATTTGAAGGAAGTCTCGCAGACTTGCTTCTTTTTGATGTTGTCAAGTTCAAAAACTGAGGAAGTCTCGCAGAATTGCTTCGTTTTGGATGGTGTCAAGTTCCAAAATTGAGGAAGTCTCGCAGAATTGCTTCGTTTTGGATGTTGTCAAGTTCAAAAATTGAGGAAATGTCGCAAAATAGCTGCGTTTTCAAGCTTGCAGATAGACAGATAGATGGATAGATGGATAAATGGGTAGATAGATAGGTAGATAGAGGGACAGACAGATAGATACAAAGATAGATAGATCGATAGATAGATTAGGTAGAAAGACAACTACAACTACAACTACAACTACAACAACAACACCAACAACACCAACACCAACAACACCAACACCAACACCAACACCACCACCACCAACAACAACAACAGCAACAACAACAACAACAACAACACCACCTACAGCACCACCTACAGCACCACCAACAGCACCAACAGCACCAACAGCACCAACAGCACCAACAGCACCAACAGCACCAACAGCACCAACAGCAGCAGCAGCAACAGCAGCAGCAGCAGCACCACCACCAGCAACAACAACAACAACAACAACCACCACAACCACAACCACAACCACAACGACAACGACCACGACCACGAAAAAAGAACACGACCACGACCACGACGACCACGACGACGACGACGACAACAACTGCAACTGCAACGGCAACTGTAACTGCAACTGCAACTGCAACTACAACTATAACACCAACTACCAACTACCAACTACAACTACAACTACAACTAGAACAACAACACCAACAACACCAACAACAACACCAACAACAACACCAACAACACCACCACCAACAACACCACCACCACCACCAACAACAACAACAACAAGTACTTCTACTACCGCCAAATCTACAACTACAATCACAATTGCGCTTTATTACACTGTACTACACTCATTACACTGCAGCACGCTGCAACTACAAATATATATGCAACTACAACTACTACACTACATTACACAACGCTACACAACACTACGCTACACTAATTACATTACATTACACCACATCTACAACCGCAGCTGCAACTACAATTACAACCACCACTACATTGTACTACTCTACGCTACGCTAATTACAATACAACTACAACTACACTACTTTACACTACACTACGCTAGACTACACTACACCATACCACACTACAGTACGCAACATTACAATAGAGTACAGTGCACTATAATATACTACACTAATTACACCACACCACAACTACTACTGCAACTTACATCACATTAGAACTACAACTTGCAACAACAACTCCGCTACACTAGAACTACAACTGCGCTACACCACACTGCATCCAACAGTTGTGGTGAGGTGACCACTGCAACCATTGCAACCACTCCAAAACAAACAGCTGCAACAACCTTTCGGTCCATCAGTGGATTCGCTCTGCCCTCCGTGATTCACAACAACGAACCTCTCCTAATGGGTTTCCTATTTTTGAACTTCCGCCATCGCCTTGTGCGGTACTACTGGTATCATGATTTATGATATTCATGCACATGTCTCGTATCAGTGGTATCAGTGTTCAACTAAAGAAAATGCCAGATGTCGCTAGGTTCACAGTTGCGCCGTATGCGATGATGGCCCCAATTACCTTCTCATATCTGGTTGTCCGATGGCTGTCCTTCCGAGAAAGCCGTGGAGATCCACAATACAGAGTTGCTTGGCTGGCGTCAAGGGTTCTTTGGTGTCTTGTTATGTTCGATTAGCATCCATGAGTTTCTTACCTTTCTCATCCTTTCTTCCCATTTTTTTGGCCCAATCATCAACAAGACACCACAAGAATCATCAAGAATCCTTAAGGTATGCAACATGCCATTGGGATGAGTAACCCATCACAGTGCCAGGATGTGCAGAGCTGGTTATTGCTGAACGCTTGGGGAAGAGCCATGCTGACGATCCTGTTGCTCTTCATCCAGATGCACATGACGAAGCTGAGCTCACCGTTCCAGTGCTACACTCTCAAAGATGGATCGGCAGTGATGGTCGACTCCCAGGACATCTACTGTGACTAGAATCGACTAGATATGACTAGGCAATAGGCATGACTGGGTTTAAGCTGAGCATTGCCGAGCTCTGCATGCTGCAAATCTAGTAAAAGATAGTAAAAATTTCTCGAATGGGCAACAGTGCCGTTGTCTATTGTACAAGTATATACAGGTTGTAGAATCGTTGTTATCCGTTGTTGTTTCCGATTTCCTGCGCTTGATTCGGATTTCCCAAGGTGATTTGGCTGATGACCAGTACTTCTTGATCTTCACAGTCGCCTGTGTTTTTTGGGTTATCTTCGCGGCTGGCTTTGCAACTTTGAACGTCTGCTTGTACTGGAGCTACCACTGGCAAGCAGGTACAAAGACACGACGCTCGACCTGTCATTTCCTGCTTTCATTTTCATAAATATCATAGATCAGGCCGTTGATGGTTTGAAAGAACTGGAAATGTGTGATTTGATTGCGGCACTAAGTATCTCACTTTTGTTCATAGAACACTGCATGGCGTGCAGATATCAAATCAATGCCTACCACACCTGCAGCAATAAAGAGACATCTTGGTGCATACACCTCTCAAAAAACCCAATAAGAAATGGTGAGGAAGAAGGCAAAAGAGCGGGCCAGGATGGTCTGGGAGGACGCTTAGACACTTGCGGTGCCAGAATGACATAAAGGCAACTTCAACAACTCCTCCCATTAGCATCATTTGCTGAGGAACACAGGAACAACCACAAGACATCGAAACACTCCTGAATTGAGCAAAAGGTAATCGAACAAAGTGCTTTCGTTTTATGAGTGCCCGTGCGTTGTGCACTGTCATGGAGTGCGCTAGCATTGCTTGTTCACTAGTTACTAGTTTATTTCGTTGTTCATCGTTATTCCCCTTCACATTTCAATCAGCAAGTTCCTCTCAGTAAACCGAGGAGATCGCATTCCAATCTATGTGGCAGCTGTAGAGATGAGCGTGGAGAACATGAGGCCAGTTTGCTGCATCGGCCGGGCATGCAACCAAGGGACGGAGGCATGCGCAGAATCATTGAAGCAAACCGGGTGATGCGTCATGACAGGGGATGGGTAGAAGTAGTCCGACTACGAGTGCTTAGCTGCTTGGTCTTGAACTGCAGACGCCTTCCCCTCCTTGCATACGCGAACGAAAAGTAACATGTAACAGTAACATTACCGCCAGCAAGTGTCCCACTCTCCTCTCACTGGGGGTCTCTAAGGCAACATTGTCGCAGTGCGCACCTATCCATCTGTCAAGGACCAGGAGGCACAAGAAAGGCGAGCATTCATGGAGGCCTTGCAAGGGTTCACGACACATGGCAGTGACTCATAGAGCGCAAGACGTTGCTGCAAGCGATCACACATGAGCAGCCTGTACCAGGCCAAAATGAAGCAACGTGGTGTGGCAGTGGTACCGGAGACAAAGGCAGGAAGGGAACTTGACAAAGAACTTGCTGACATGCGAAAGCGGAAAGCGACACTCGAGGACAGGCCATGCAGTAGTGTACGCAGTGTGCAGTTTGAGCCAGTAGCCGGCAAGTGAGTGGCGCAGGCACGTGTAGAATTACGTATGTTTATTACCTGGTGCTAATGTTGGGCTTGCTAGATCTTGCTAGGATGAAGTCAACCTGCGAGAGATCAAGATGAAGTGGAAGAACAAGGAAAAATTCACCGAGAAACAAGCGTGGCCAGATCGTTTGGACGGCAGCTATGTTACCTATGGTTGGGTACTGATTTTTAGCATCTCGGATCCCATTGGAACCTAGGTTTGGAGAAAAATACCGATACCTTTTTCTTGCCCCATTAAATTTAAAAACATCGTAGTGAATGGTTTGAATCAGATCTGAGCAAGCTTGAGTGCCCAAGGTGTCGCATTTTTGTGTATCTTCCGTGTATCTTCTGTGTATCTCAGGCACCTTTTTTCGACAGTTCGCTTTGATGCTATCAGCTTTAGTGTCTAACGACTTCCCTCCCTTCGGTGCTGCGTCTCAATCCTTGGTCTTCATGATCAACTTCGGCGCAACTGGGCAAAGCTTCATGTGTAGTCACGAGTGCGCATTGTTTGACGAGCTGCGTATATTACATTATAGTATCAAACTAATTCTGACCGGATGATGCCATAAATTCTTCGAGAATGTCTCAGGGTCCACGTCCGTGAACAAGTCTTATACACTTGTTTTGACTATGTGGAACGCTGTGGAACCTCTTGATAGCCAGCTTATTGTTATATAGTTTTTTTTTCTCCGGCAGGAAGTAGAGTACGTAGAGGTCATTTTTGTGTTCTCTAGTGACTCAGAGCGGTGCCTCCTGGTGCGAGGCATTAATTCTCCTTTTCCCATACAATGCCAGGCTGTTGAACATTGAGGACTTTTCGCATCTTTTCGCCATGATGTGCCATGTGATCCATGTGTTCGCTCAGCTCGACTGGCTCAATTCATCAGCTTTGATTTTTGCGTTATCATGGACCTTAAGTTGACCTTAATGATCCTCGAAGCATTCCATTCACGAGATCTTGAATTGGCCTGCTGCTGCATTTGCTGCCGATGTGTGCAGGAGTCGGTGCTGACTGGCTGCATGGCGTTCTTGACTTTCATGGCTGCCTTCAAGGAGAAGCCGCAGAGATCTGCAGATGCTAAACTGTCACATCGTTTAAAACCGTGTTGCATCTTGTTGCTTTCTGTGACTCTGTCGATGTGCTACTTACTTTTTTTTTGTCAGTACTTACCTGAAGATTGAGTAGCTCATGCATAAAGCACATTGTGCCAGGAGAGAGGGCTTAGGAATTTCACACAGTCGAGTGCAGCCGACTACAGCCGACCAGCCGACTACAGCCGACCAGCCGACTACAGCCGACCAGCCGACTACAGCCGACCACAGCCGACTACAGCCGACTACAGCCGACTACGGCCGACTACAGCCGACCAGCCGACTACGGCCGACTACGGCCGACTACAGCCGACCAGCCGACTACAGCCGACTACAGCCGACTACAGCCGAGCACAGCTGAGTACAGCCAACTACAGCCGACCACAGCCGACTACAGCCGACCACAGCCGACTACAGCCGAGCAAAGCCGACTACAGCCCACTACAGCCGACTACAGCCGAGAACAGCCAACTACAGCCAATTACAGCCGAGCACGGCCGACCAGCCGAGTACAAACTGTCCACAAGGATAAGATGATATCAAAATTCCCACCCCCATGGAACTTCAAATTGACTTGGACTGCCCGCTAGGATCAGGTGATATCAACGTTCCCACCCCCATGGAATTTCAAACTGTCCACAAGGATAAGATATATAAAAATCCCAATCCCATGGACCACTGAACTTCAAATTGACTTGGACTGTCTGCGAGGATAAGATGATATCAAAATTCCCACCCCCATGGAACTTCAAATGAACTTGGACTGTCCGCGAGGACAAGATGATATCAAAATTCCCACCCCCATGGAACTTCAAATGGACTTGGGCTGTCCACAAGGATAAGATGATACCAAAATTCCCACCACATGGAACTTCAAAATACCCACCCGCATGGAACTTCAAATTGGCTTGGACTGTCCACAAGGATAAGATGAAATGATATCAACATTCCCACGCCCATGGAACTTCAATTTGACTTGGACTGTGCACGGGGATAAGATGATATCAAAATGCCCACCCCCATGGAACTTCAAATGGACTTGGACTTTCCACAAGGATAAGATGATACCAAAATTCCCACCCCCATGGAACTTCAAATTGTCTTGGACTGTCCACAGGGATAAGGTGATATCAAAATTCCCACCGCATGGAACTTCAATTTGACTTGGACTTCCCACACGGAGAAGATGATATCAAAATTGCCACCCCTATGTAACTTCAATTTGACTTGGAGTGTCCGCACGGATAAGATGATATCAAAGTTGCCACCCCTATGGAACTTCAATTTGACTTGGAGTGTCTACAAGGATGAGATGATATCAACATCACCAGCCCCCTTGCAACTTCAAAGTGACTTGGACTGTCCACAAGGATGATGATATCAAAATTGCCACGCCATGGAACTTCAAATTGACTTGGACTGTCCAACACCACTTGAGGGAAGTGAACATGAGTTTCTTGGTAAAAAGGATGCAAATCTGATGAGTTTCTTACGTATCTGGCACTCAACCCTGCAGTCATTTTGCTGGTGCTGGCTTGGAAGTTGCAACCATATCACATAGGGGAAGTGACTGCAAATGAATATTCAGATTCAAAAGCAGCATGTTGAACAATTGTAATCCAATCCCCTTTCATCACGAGTTTCGCATTTCCAACTCCCTGTTCCTGTGCTTCCCCGGGTTTTAGTACTCCCGGTTTCCAACTCCCTATGGATAGTTTCCGTTTCCGAATCCGCGTGTCGCGTGTCTGTCAGTTTCCGAGCCCTAGTTTCCGAATCCGTGTTTCTTAGTTTCTGAATCTTAATTTCTGAATCCGCGTGTTTTAGTTTCCGAATCTTAGTGTCCGAATCCGCGTGTTTTGGTTTCCGAATCCGAATCCGCGCTTCTTAGTTTCCGAATCTTAGTTTCCGAATCCGCGCTTTTAGTTTCCGAATCTTAGTTTCGGAAGCCCCGTCCTCCTTAGTTTCCGAATCCTTTGTTTCTTATGTTCCGAATCCTCGTTTCCGAATCCGCGTCTGTTAATTTCCGAATCTTCGTTTCCGAATCTGCGGTTTTAGTTTCCGAATCTTAGTTTCCGAATCCGCGTGCATGTTCATTTCCGAATCCATGGTTTTAGTTTCCAAATCCGTGCTTGACCGCGTTACTAACTTCTCCACTTGCATGACGGGGTGGGCTATTAACGTCTTTTTTACTAACAACTTCCAACTGCGTTATTAACCTTTCTAACCACTTGCATGAGGTGGGGTGGGGCGGGGTGGGCTATTAACGTCTTTTCTACTAGCAACTGCCAAGTGCATTACTAAATTTTCAAATTGCAACTATGTTGTCGGCTCTTGTAACACAACTTGCAACTACGTTGTTATCTTCTCGATCAAGGTCCAACTACGTTGCCGACGGCTTTCTGACACACAACTTTGACAACTAGTTGTTATTTCTTATCTTTCAAAAGCCAAATACTTTGCCGACTCTTTATAAGACAACTTGCAAACTAACGTTGTCGGGCTTATTGTGACGGAATTGCAACTACGTTGTTATCTTCTCGATCAAGTTCCAACTACATTGTTGACTTTTGTAACACAACTTGCAACTACGTTGTTATCTTCTTTTTTGTCCTACTGGTACTATTGATGCAGCATGGTCTGCATTAAAGAGTTACATTCCCAACAGTTTGCCCTCCCAAAGCCGCGATTTACTGTTGCACGCAAAATCTTGGCAATGGAGGTACATAAACCGCAGTGCCATTTTGCAGCAGAAGACGATTGACACATTGAAACGCATCTTGAAAAAAGTGTTGTTTTTCAGATTCCACGAAAACCATCTTTAAAAATGAGCTTTTACTGTGGTAAAACGCGAAAACGCCCCAATTTTGGTTTCGCCACAGTGCCATACTCATTTTTTGAAAACACGTGCTTTTACGAACATGGTTTCCGGTCCGGCGGGAAATTTATGCTTCTGACCCTCTAAACAGCAAACCCACTAAAAGAACAACAATTTGGACTTTAACCCTTACAAATTCTCGCAGCTCATGCCAGTCTAGTTGAACTTTGATGGAAACTACTGGGACCAAAGAAAGTCAGTTAAAACTTGTGTGAATTTCTCTGTATTTCCTATGTAATTGCTTATGTGCTTCCGATGCGGTGTATAAGCACTTTATCTGCATTTTTTCAGACTTCATGTAATTGTGCTAATATTACATGAAGCTCTTACCAAATTACATGAAGGCACATGACGTTTTTTAAAAAATGCAAATACCGTGCATTTAAAACGCATCAAAGGTGCACAATAATTATGTGTGACACTTCACAATTTCTTCGTCACATTCGTTGTGAAATCCACAGCGTCTTCATTGATGAAGTCTGGTATGCGCAAGAAAATACATGAGATCTGACACACAACACAAATACATGCACAAGGTCGGCACAATTGCAGTCTTTTGAACATCATCTCCGACAAAGTTCACTAGAGATAATCCCATGTATAGTATATTGAAGACAGTCTCAAGCAAAGTTCGTTGAATTGCGTCCCAAGTCCCCTTAAGGCAGTTTCAAATAAAATTCAACTGGGGGTGTGTCTCAAGTAAGTCCATTGAAGACAATCAAAAGTAAAGCCCACGGAAAGCAATCTCCCGTAAAGGTTATTGAATATCAGCTGAGGTAAATTCATTGCATATCATGTCAAGTAAATTCCATTTGAATTGAATATCAAGTAAAGCAAAGTCCATGGAAAAGAATGTCAAGTGAAGTCCATGGAACTGAAGTTCGGATTAAAATCATTGGACATATCCAGACGTAAAGTTCAGTGAAATGGATCAAGTAAAGTCGACTGAAAACATTCTCAAGGGAAGTGCTTTTGTAATTAGATCAGCCGACAAGTATATAAAGCACATGTAATTGTCATCAAGCATTTTCTCAAGTAAGGTCATGCGTAGCACTTGGCAGCACAAGTCCGTTTATCCATCCTTTGTGACTTTAGCTATGTTTGCTGATATCATATATAATCCAATTTCTTGTGGACAACATTTTTCAATGAGTTCACGCATGTAACATCTTGAAGGCAGAAGTTGTTGCCTTTTTAAAAGGCATGTTTCGGGACGTGAAGAGTTCCACTTGTTTGTGCGCGGTGCTCTTTTCCAGAAAGAACAAAACTGTTTTGAATCAGGGGTCTTGATATTTCACACAAACTTTTGCGGATCATGCTTGGAAAAAAAGATTCCATCTCAATATTCCCATTTATTTACATGTTTTAACCCAAAAAATGCCACTAGTGAATTGCCAAGTTTACTGTTTTTTGCCTCTCAACTTTTTAACCTTGTAGACTGACGGTATAGATTCTGTATAGTGCCCACGTTTTGCTTTCACAACGTCTCCCCCTGAATTTTAAACGGGAATCCCACACACCCGGTTGATATGTGATTGGTTTTCCTTCATCGGCTTTCCTTCAGATGGCCTTCTAAAAATAGAATGGCTGCTATGACCATCGGCCAATTGACATTTCATGACATGGACATGGATGCTAAAAGGTAAGGCTCCCCACTTACAAGTTTGTTTTTACATGTTATTCAGTATAGATAGATCTTCCACAACTATATGTCACACACGTCATTGATTGCAATCAGTGTGCCACGCTTATCTTCGCATTGTGCTTACGCCACACAAGTAAACCACGCGAGCATGTTGGTGCAAGCATAAGTTGTCTTTATGAAATTGATCTACAAGTCCTTTTTCCCGAATTGGTTTAACATATTATGTTTGTAGCTGAACTTCACCTTCTGAATTGTGATCGCTCCTTCGTTCACAAAGAACTTTACACAAGAACTTCGCGGCAGATCCGCA